TATATATATATATATATATATATATATATATATATATATATATATATATTAACACCAATCTTTACAGATACGGCGCCAAAAAGAACCATGGTACATAGTCCGACCTCAGACGTGTGTGAAATATAATATTATCTTCTTTCAATTGAACGTATTCTCAATATTTTATGGCGTTAAATTGGACAAAACATCGCATACTGCGGGGCAAGTGGCGATTGAAATGTTTAACTCGACCATCTGAACACAAAAACAAATGGTAACCGGCCCGGCGCTAGTTTGATGACATTCACTCACTCTCTCACACACACACACACACATAATTAACCACCCACTGTCTCCACGTGGAAACCTTTATTCGTTTTAGTCTTCACCTTCCCTTTTTTGATATTTTGCTTCGCTTACACCAGCCACATAACCTCGGGGTTTTCCATGCATAATAGTTTGACTGGTTTCCATATCCTGTCCTCACGCACGGTCGAGGCTCATGGGAGGAATCCTGTTTGAATGACGGTCAAGAGCAGTTTGCTTGAACAAAACGAACTAAGGTATCACAAGAGCTAACTGTATAGATGCCGTCACTAAAAGCATATTCAGTTCTGGAGACCAGGTTTACAGTGATGTATTTGATAAATTGATTGATTGGCAGATGCTGTCAGCCACCGCTAAGGAAAAGGTGAAAATACATCCGTAGCGCAATGTCGATTCAAATGATAGAGACATTCGCGTTCTGTATTCCGTTATGGAGGAAAGCACCTATCAAAAGTCTCCCCAAGAAACCATCTGACATACATCATTAGCTTTGGTGCCTGGCGCCCAAATCTGCACAAAACTAAATGCGCAGGTTCCGTTGGTAGAAACTAAGAAGCTAGAACTTGAGAGATAACGAGAAAACCACGCTCCAAACCGTTGAAAAGTTGAACAATTCAAAGCCAACAAGAAAGGATTTTACAAACACAAAAGGAGAAGCCGAGAACTACAACATCCATAGAAAACAAGGATTTGTGCACATGTGCCAGTAAGTCGATAGACGGCTCAGTGATAAACACAAGACGAAGGTGTGTTTCAGCTATCTATCTTCAACCGTCAAATCTTCCCCTATCCATACAAAGTGGATTATGCCAACAGAGCACCTTCGAAGACGGCACTAAAGAAAACATGACGAATGCCGTTTCCCATGAATGAGAACCGGAGTTGCGCTTGGAACGGCAAGACAACCGTGGCCAGACTAGTCTCCATAATTGAATTTTTAAATTTGTTTGTATCTGTGACATACGTCTTTGGTTTAACTGTGGTGGGGGAGGTGATGTGGCCTACAATTAACTGTAACGTGTCTCGTATATGCCCCAAAGAATATTTCTGTGTTCTGTTTGTTGTTTTTTCTTCTCTGAAATACTCATTCCCAGCTTATTTGTGGAAGGGGAAGCGATGTTGTGGTCTACAAGTGACTGATACTTTTGTCGCGCTTGCCTGTGACCGGATTGATTGACAGATGCTGTCCGCTAGCCCGCACGCACGCACTCACGACATGCAGAGCGGCTCTATTATAATATTGATCGGCTGCAGTTAGCATTGAACTGCTGTCCATGATTCGTTGACTGTTTGAATGCCGGCTTGACGACATTCAGCTGCCGTGTGACGCGTGAACAGTATGTCGGCTTGCCCGCTTGCCGTCTACGTGTTGCCCGCTCCTGCTTGCTCACCGGCCACATGTGTGTCTACTACAGTAAACGTACTGCCTAATTCACAGTGACTGATTTACCTTGTTAAGCGGGACATGATCCCATGAACTTTTCTAACGCAGTACAACCAATCCAAACCAGAATTAGCTCGGAAATTGTGTAATGAGACTGTTGTAGCTAAATCTCGTTCGAGGTACCGGATAGATAGACGCGATTAGCTTCACCAACAGTGAAACTACATAGGTAATGTTTGGAATCGTTCGAACCCCAAGGGTTTGCCGGATTAGAAAAAAGCGAACAGTATAAAATTCTCCGACAGGAATCAATTGAAGATTGTAAATGTAAATCAGTGTGATTAGTTAACATATGGCTGGAAGCTTACTTGTGTAGAACTGCAATAAGGGACTTCGTTGACCAAATGGCGTATGTGCAAATGACTTTCTTGATTCCCGCGAAGCACCAGTGTAATGAACAATGGACCGATCAATTCCTTGATAAATAAATAAATAATAAGAAGGAAAATGGCGGAAATATTTAAGCGAATTCAATATATCATCGATATTTTTCGCAAGTGCTACTAAAACCAAAATGCTTGAGAAGGCCACGGATATGGGTTACTAGCATGAGTCGTGTTTTAAATCTTTGGCAAATTAGAATTTCAAGGAACACGTACGCACCAAGACGAAGCAGCACTTGGAAGTGGTGTGACTTCATGCAAAATTTAGTCACGCTAATCATCATTCACCATTGATTATCCGGTAAAACGCCCTCAATGAGCAGCCAAAAGATGACTCATCTTATCAAGTGACATGCAAATTGAACCCATACTTCATTATCGTCTACAGCGTCATTCTGTACAACAGTCACGAACACACCTTAAAAATCATAGTTTTGTCCAATCGAAACAGTCGAGCCAAGCTGTCCATGACTTGACTAACGCCTTGATCCGTGTGTTCAGCCACTACCTGGAGGAGATGAGCGGAAAAATCGAGTATAATGTGACAATTGGAAGTAAAACGTTGGCGCAGTGACTGCATAACATGGAATCCTAAATGGCGATCTGAGGTAATGAAAAAAATACACAAATAAAAAAAAAACGGNCACAAAATTTGTGCTCCGCGAGAGGGAGGAGTGGGAGGATCAGAAAAGACACTTCGTTCACAGCACTCACTTACCGGGTGTGCCTACCCGACTATTGAAGTATATATGGTGCTTTGAATAAGACACGAAACAGACTTGTTATGGTAAATTAACTGTGTCACAATGAGATGTGCCGGTAACTGTATCTGTCACGTATTGTTGTCTGAGAGACTCGGTCACATAGGTCCCGTTAGGCTCCCTGGATAGGGACCTTGGGATGATCGTAACCGATGTTTAGAGACAGTGAGTGATACGGTCGAGTGTCCTAAACAATGGCGTCCGTGCATCATTTCAATTTATTTGCAACATTAGTCCACTGAAATTCTCCATTTTCTATCCGACCCTACTTTCGACTTCCCTGACTTTTTCCTAATGCTTCATCCAAATGAGCAGCCAATACCGGCGCACTAAAAAGCATGGCTAATAGTTGTACAAACTGAAACCAAAACTTACTATCTCCGATATACAACTAACTTAGTTTTCACTTCGGAGTTCAGACGAGAAAACTATGCAGGATTATACTGAGAATTTTCTATATGTTTCTGTCGGTTGAATTTCTCTTACTCAGCCAAACCGTTTTGATTACACCAAACTGCTTCGTTTCGTCGCAGTCTTTGTATCCCTTCTACACGCGAGTGAATGCCCGTGCCAGACAAACCACAGATGGCGGAACAAATTCGATTCGAATGTTACAGGGTGTGTGAAAGCAACGTCATGAGAGCATAGTCAAGTCAAGTCAAGTCAAGTCAAGTATTTGCTTTATGCACCCCGAAAGGTGGATATTCAGCAGTCACATAGTCATCTAACAATTATCGAACAGAATTATAGCATAATTATCGTGAGCAGTGAAAATGAATACAATTTAAGAGATAACTGAGTAGAGGTCCGAAGCAATGCTTTCTGCGCTGACAAGAAATCGGGCAAGATAGGGCACTACAGAAGACCGTACGAGCAAATATACACTTATAACGGGACCGGGTGGAAGAGGAGGAAACACACTTGATAAGATCTTGATGTAATGGATGTGAAGGGTTATCCAAGATTTTTGTTGATAACGAAAAATATGACTTTGTATGTTGGGAAATGATGAAGTGACAGATAGTTTCACGGGAAATCCCACTGCTTCTAGATAGATGTATTAATGATCTGGAAAGCAGTTTAAAGTCTTTTTTGAGCATCCCTGGAAAGATTACTGGGGACCCATACAACCATAGGGGTAAAATACAAGCAAATAGAAAACGTTTAATCAAGAAGCGAGGGACGGATAATCTTTTCAGTCGTAAGACATAAAATAATAGTTTTCTGACCTTTACAAATACAGAGACAACTTGGTCAGACCAACATACGTTTCGGTTTATTAACACACCAAGATACTTGACGTTCGGGGGTTGGACAATAGTGTCATTGCCTATGTTCAAAGGGGGATAAGATTCCAAGAGATTAGCATAACGGTTCCCTCTGTGAAGTGAGAACAACATGTCTACACATTTAGAGGGATTGAGAGTTAAGTTATGCTCAGTAGACCACTGAGCAAGGTTAGTAAGGCCAAGTTGGAGGGTGGGGGTGACAGATGCATCAGGGTGGGTAATTCCGACCACAACATCGTCCGCATATTTAATAAGCAG